CTTTGAGACCAGACTCGGTTACGTAGTTCGGCTGAATCAGTACACAGAATTTGGGAGTATCGCTGGTAGATGGGGACAAAAATCGAAAAAAAGGGTATTCTAGTGCCTCTGTGCTAAATCGGTGATAGTCTGCGAGTATTGGACGCTAAATGCCGTGCGACTACCTGCGGGGGTCATAGACTCCCGATCTATTCTTGTCCTGCGATCGAGAGGAATTGTGGAAGATCACTTTCAAATGACTTAGATTGGTGTTTGGCAAATGAAGCCTTAGGGATGGGGGGGGGAGGGAGAGAAGGGGTCTAAGCACGTTGAACATTCTATTGACGAGACCTTTTCGCTGCGTCCTTGAAGCTTGGCGTTGGTGAGGCTTTCCGAGAGGATATACAAGAGAAGGTGTAGCGCTTCAATGGGGTCTGTGAGTTGATGGAAGGAGGAGTAGAAGGTGCCCGCATCTGGACGTTCATGCGGCTCCGCCAGTGGGACTGGTGACGCAAAGGTGGGCAAATTGAGGAGTGTTGTAGCAAAATCGAGCACCCGTGATGAACTAAAATGGACAGAAGACCAATGTAGCAATGAGTGCAAAAATGGAAGGGCAAGAACGCGCATAGAGTAACGGTCAGAAAACACGTCACTGGAGGGCAAAAAGTATAAAAAGAAACAAGTGTCACGCTTAAAAGTAAACAAAAACAAGGACGACAAAAAGCTGTTTCCACACCAGGAGTTAAGTCTGGGCTTCGTCCTTCCGGTATGCCAAGAAGAATGCTTGGCTTTATTGAACGAAAATGACTTGGTCAAACCTAGGAAATTATCGAATTGTGTGAAACTCCACATCATCCTAGGTAGATTCCGAACCAGAGCTCACATGCTGGACCCTCATCTTACGAGCCCGGAAAATTTTCGTTGCGATAGTGTAGCCTAAACAAATTTGACGAAAGATGGTGAGTTACATAGGACAAAAACTCTCAGTCCCACATTTCTTGAGCTTAAGGGCTGTCAGGCCAGCTGGCTTAGTTTTGACCGGGAGTCTGCAATTGAGCAATTGTAGAGGCGAGGAACCTTCATCATGAGTCAGTTCAAAATATCAATATTGATGCCGTCACAAAGAACTATGAGTGAAATAGTCTAACATAGCGCCCGCTACTTAAAGTTCCGTTATCAGTCAAATATATTAATGACACGACAGCCATCTACTAAGAAGCTAACCTTGGAAACAGGTAAATAAACAGTTGTGTAGGGGTGATGTTCGCCAAATAGATCTAAATGTTGGGCACTAAGTGCCTTGGAATTCCGATGCAAGACTATCGTCGGTGGTCACATACCGAAGAGCAGTTAAAATGGAGAAGAATTGTCGAGATGAGCTAGACTGGCTGAATTAGTGTCCTCAGTCGGCAAAACCTAACCAGTGGACGATACGGCCTGAGGTTGAAGCTCATATTCAGTTGGTTGTTGGGCCATATGTTCTACCAATTGAGCCACGTAGTCCCATGCTGTCGACTTTAACTGGGAATAGTAAAGACTTCATGAGAATGACGTTCAACTGTGGTTCGGCTTGCTTTAGAGCTAGCTGAAGAAAACATAGGGGAAGACAGGTATGACACATTCCGTCCTACTGTTCAACCCCGTAGCTGTCATCGTCAGCCAATCACAGACCGTTATTAGGTCCACCAGAGTGGGGTCTGCATTCGGATCCAGTTGGCCATTTAACCAAGACCCTACCGTTTGGCCACGGAAACACACCCGGTTGGACCGAGATTGGAAATATCGAAAGTCATATGCGAGTGTTGTATACCGAGTTATCTTTAGCCTGGATCACAACTCGAGTAATCGAAGCGTGGGGTTGGTGTGCGTTTGGTTGAAAACAGCAAAAGAAATTGACATTCCAGTCAGCCCTGTCCTTGTCTGTAGTAATTTTCGATTGAAATATGAAGGGTTCAGTAACCATTTCTAGAAAGTCTTAGAAAAGATGAAAAAGTGCGAAAACAGTCCGGCAGAAAAAGTGAAAACTTCATACAAACCACATACAAACCAAGACGCTCAATTTTTTTTCAGATAAGAATTGATGTTACGGCAAGCAAATTGAGTAGGACATACGAAGCATCGAGTTCTGCTTTCGACATGCATCACTGGATTAATGAATGATGGGGTAATGGCACGCACCTAAGGAGGGACACATCCTCATGAAGAACTCTGCGCAGACAAAAACGCACAATGGATGGTACGGCGTTGTGAACGAGTTCCTCCAGCAAAAAACGGCGAACGGGAGCGTCAAACGCAGGCCTCTTATCTGTTTCCGAAAAGACTATGGAACGCACCAGCGACCAGAAGTTATCCAAGTCCAACTGCGACTCGCTGTCTCCTGGTGAGTCCATTTTTAACATGGATACTGCCCTCATGCTCGGGGGCAGGGCTCCCGAAAAGCCGAACAGAGTCAACAGTTGAAGTCTCTGCTCTAGGGATCTGAGGGGAGAAAGAGAAGAGAAATCGAGTGGATGGGGTTTCAAATAGGACGTAAAACAAGCAGAAAGCGCATTAAGAAATCACTTTAATGAGCGATAGGGACATGAACAGCAGGGGACTTGCGTCTCATCCACAAAAGTGGCTTCAAAGCAGCTCATTAGATTAAATTACAGCAACCTAAACGAGGTGATTTCTAGTACGAGCCACTTATATGAATTTAATAGTGTGTTCACTGTCATGTCACAGGCTGAGGTTGTGCGACTGAGAATTCCAAGTAGAAAACATTGATGATGTCAGTACGTAGGTATACAGGGTTGGGTATTAGGTAGTTCAGCGTGGAATGATAGATTGCTTTGTTATGGTAGTATTCTAACAAGACTTAGGACCCTAGAATTTCCATTTCTGGCTCATTAGCCGTCGTCAGTTAGGGATACACGACTCCAGTGTTGCAGTTGAAATTGCTGCCACACTCCAGTTTCGAACCCGCGTCTCTCCGGTCAGAGGCAAACGCTCTAACCATTGAGCCACGAGTCGGCTGTCTTGTCGTTTTTTTAGATCGGGCGTATATAGTAGTTAATTGTACACCGATCTGTCTTACAGGATGTACCCATCCTGGTTGATGCCTCGCGAGCTCGGACCAACCGAATGTGTTTCCACAAGGCTACTAATCGTAATGATACTATTCCGAGCTACTGAGGCATCAACCAGGATGGGTACATCCCGTAAGACAGATCGGTGTAAAATTAACTACTAATATATCTCTTTGCTTCGGAATTAGGAAACTAAACTGTCAAAAATGTATCAGTTAAACTGCATGTGCTGCGTGAATTTCAACGTTCTTTTTCTAACGAAAATTAGCGATAAAAAATTTCAGAGAAGTCGTCAGCTGTTGAAGCAATAGGATAACCAAACCTTTTTTAGATAAAACTGTCAGGTCCCGAAAGAATTCGCTCCAAAGAAAAATGCCCAGTGGTGGAAAGGACGGCGCTTATTTGGTCAAAAGCGGGTACTGAAAACGTATTTGTCACTTTCTCTTAGTTACCCTTTTAGCACGGGGGATTGAGCGCCATCGTAAGAAAAAAATATAGACGATGGCTAGTCTTGGATGCACGATTCAATTTTCCGACGTACTTATTTTGTTGCGTTCACAGTAGCCGATCTATTTCATGGAATGTTAAACGACAATTTGAAGCGTGTTTTCGATGCGGAAAGAGTACTTAGGTGAGGTTTTAATATTGCTTTTCGTAATCCCAAGTCGCGCCAGGAATTTGTATATACAGGGAAGACGAAGGCTGGACGATCGCCAGAGTAATTTCTTTACACGTCTGACCTTTTGAACTCCTACTCCTACTAACTCCATCGTCAGGGGTAAAAAGGGCAAAAAAGCAACAGCTACAGGAAGTAGGGGCAAATCAAGCATCAGTAACGCCAATCCGGAGGTAACTATGCACAGAAATTTATGGTAGCGCCAGATTGCTATATCGATGGACCGTTTTGTCGCTGATGTTATCGCTGACGTAGGACTCCTGTAAAACTCCGAAAGCTCACACGAGTTAAG